ATACTCACAATATAACTCATCAGTTCAGGAGATCAAGAATATTAGCCTGTTTAGAAGATCCTTGATTAAAAATAAAACAACAAGAATATCCTATTAATGGTTTGGAGATGGCAACAGTGCTGCAGTGGATGACAGATGATGCAACAGATGAATAGAAACAAAGACACTTCATCACAGCTTTCTTTTCCTTCAGTCTTGGGGCTGAAACAATTATTATACAAATACTGTCACAGTATTATAGTCTTTTGTAGGATGGTCAATCAAAGTAAAATACCCAAAGGCCTCCTCAGTGAACTTCTTCTTTACCTAACATATACTGTGCAAAAATTCAGCCTAGTGTCTTCATCTACTGATGAGATTGCATAATATTTAGACTATACTATACATACACAAAAGTGTCGCATTGCCACATAATCCAGGGAACAGTTGTGTCAACAGGGCATATATTTGTAACTTTGTAACTGTAACTTTTCAGGCATAACTTTATGACACCAACCAGTTATAAGCTGAATTTTCACTAAGACTGGGTAAAGACTTTGTGCCTTTGAGACCGTTTCTAGGCTATGTTGACCACGTTAAACAATCTAGTACAATGGTTGTCAACTTTTTTCTGTGTGTATTAACACACCATTAGGCCATTAGCTAACGCTACAAAGCATGCAAAAAAGAAGACATATTGTTTTGTTCATAATGACCAAGTTAAGAAAAAGCTGTCCGATGTATGCAAATACTTCCACTCATTTTGAACTCCCCAGTGAGAAGAAAGATGAAGAGTTAATGTGTTTCAGGGATGAGTCAAGTGAGAGGGGAAATGGACGTCAAACAATTTTTTGTGGTTGTTGCACAAAAAAGGTTAAGAACCACGCTTTAGTGTACTGTACTCGCAAATTTTCCCATTAAGTTTATTCCCTTGTGTGGCTTTAAGCATACTATATAATCAATTTTTTTTTTTATGTAGGTGAAGTTATTTCTTCTGCTTTTTTATCTTATCTTAGTAGCATGAATTGGCGATTTAGCTGTAGCCAGTGGCAACATATACTACTTTTTAAGAGTCAAGGTACATTGTAAGATTGATATGATCCAAGTACAGCTTCAAAGTAAGTACATCAACACTGCCAATGCAGCACCCATCTAGCTAAGGTCCTACCAGCACCCTATTGCTTAGTGGCAGGCTGCTGAGAAGAAAACCAGTCTGCAGCCCATGGACAGCGTCAGCTTTTAAACAGAAGAACTGCAGCTGGCGATTCTGCATGGACTACAGGCAACTCAATGTAGCTACCAGCTTAGACCCCAACCCACTAAATTGTGATGATGCCCTTGACATGCTCACTGGCTTCTGGTGGTTCATCTCCTGAACCTGCCCATTGGTTAATAGAAAGTGGCATTGATTCCGAAAAGCAACGAGAAAACAAGCTGGAGCAAACCTGATTTATTCAGTCTCAGTCTTCAACAAATGATCGGGTGTGTTCCTGCTTTGTAGGAATGAAAACCCGCAGCCACACGTGCCTTTGAGGATAGAAGGCTGCACCTGAACACTCCTGGCCAACCTCTCTGCCCAAGCTCAAGATGATAAAGTGCTGGTCCAATTATTTACCAAGAGAACTTTGATAAGGTGCCACTGATAAGGACTCGTTGGGGCGCTCTATGATGCAGTCAGCTCACTTCAAAACAAACACCCTAAGAGTTTCACTATTATCATGGGCGACTTCAACCATGCTCGTTCAACCAAACCATGTTGGAGGAACATTCTCCCCATCCCAACAAGGAGACAGAATACACTAGGCCATGCTTACACCAACATAAAGGGTAAAGCTGTACCCTGCCCCCACCTCAGAATCTCACACCACAAAGTTGTGATGCTGTTCCCTGCTTATCTACCACTTTTAAAAATAAAAAACTGTCACCAAAAACAACAAAATGTCACCAGAGGGAATTGTTCCAGTGCTGCAGAACTGTTTCAGCCACACAGACTGGAGCATGTTCAAGGATGATGCTTCATGTGGGGATCACACAGACTTGAATGAATATGCATCACCTGTCACTGGCTATATAAGAAAGTATGTGGACAACGTAGTGATCACAAGAATGGTCACCGAACAACCAAACCAAAAGCCCTGACTGAATGCTGAGGTCTGTTCTCTGCTTAAGGCCATGATGTTGCATTCAGATCGGTTGAAAAAGCAGCATTCAGGGCAGCCAGAAATGGCCTCAATGCAGGCGACAGCAGTGAGGATCCTGCCTCCCCCTGGCGACCAGATGCTGTCTGTGAGTGCAGCTGATATGAGGAGAACCCTGCTGAACATGAACCCCCGTAAAGTTGTATGCGAGGGGCGCACAACTCCAGTCCTGGAGGGCCGGTGTCCAGCATAGTTTGGTGATCTTGCTGCTCAGACACACCTGATTCAATTCCTCTGTTAACTGGCAGGTTTACAAGATGTGTTTGAGTTGGGAATCTACTCAATAAACTGTGCAGGACACCAACCCTCCAGGACTGGAGTTGTGCACCCCTGCTGTAGGCCCTGACAACATTCCTGGGCTAGCCGCTGTCATCATGGACATCTTTAACATAACCCTGGAGCAGGCTGCTGTTCCAACACGCTTCAAATCAGCCACCATCATCCCAGTGCCACAGAAGTCCTCTGGCACAGACTTAATGACTACCGCCCAGTTGTGCTAACCAAAACTGTCATGAAGTGCTTTGAGCAGCTGGTTATGGTACCCATTAAGCAATCCATTCTCTCAACAATGGACCCCCACCAATATGCCTACAGGCAAAAATGCTCCACTGAGGATGCCATAACCACTGCCAACCACCTGGGTTTTAGAATGCTGTTTATCGACTTCAACTCAGTATTCAACATTATCAGACACTATCATACTCTAGTTAGTCAGCAAACTCCTCTCACTTGGACTGAGCTCATCCGTTTGTAACTGGGTTCTAGACTTCTTCAGCAAGTCAAAATCCAGAACAGACTACCCCATTCCATCACTCTGAACAATGAAGCCCCCCCAAGGCTGTGTACCGAGTCCTCTGCTGTACACCCTGCTCACCCACAACTGCATCGCCAAACATCAGAGCAATCACATCATCAAGTTTGCTGATGACACTGGGGCTCATCTCCAACAATTCTGAGACAGCCTACAGAGAGCAAGTGAGGCAGCTAGAGTTCTGGTATAAAGACAACAATCCCTCTCTGAATGTGATCAAGGCAAAAAAGACGACTGTAGACTTCAGAAGGACACTGACGCCTCATACCCCTATGCACATCAGTGGTACAGTAGTGGAGAAAGTGTGCAGCTTCAAGTTACCAGGAGTGCACAGCACTGACAATCTCACCTGGTCCCTGAACACCTTCTCCTTAGTAAAGAGGCCACAACAGCTCCTCTACTTCCTAGGGAGCCTGAAGAGGGCTGGCCTGTGCTGACATATCCTACACTGCTTCTACAGAGGCATCATAGAGAGCATCCTGACCTGCATCATCACTGTCTGGTATGGAAAATGCTCTGTCTCAGACAAGAAAGCACTGCAGCGGGTAATGAAGACTGCCCAGTCCATCACTATGTCAAGCCTCCCTGCTGTTAAGAACAACTACACTAAACAGTGTAAAACGAAAGCATGCAGAATCAGGATCCCTCTCATCCATGACACTATTCACACCGCTCCCATCTGGAAGAAGACCACGGGGCATCAGGGCCAAGTTCTCTAGACTCATGAACACTTTCTTCCCGCTGGTAATCAGACTGTAGAACGGACCTACCTGATGGCCCCTTACATCTCACTGAACTGCTACCTCAGCCATACTACTCACTTTATCTGTTGCATTTGAACTTCATCACACTGTACACCATCTGTAGTTTTATTAATCTTTGCAGTTGTCTTATTAAAAACTATTGTTAGCTGTAAGTGCATTGATGAATTACTACTATTGCTGCTGTGGACCAACAGCTTAACTATTTTCTCTACTGTCCTGTGCTCAGTGGTTGTGTAGTGTTGATTGTGCAGTGTGGTTGTAGTTATTGTAAATTTAGAGAAGAAATTATTGCATAGTATTTGTACAGTGGGTCTTTGTTTATTGTATTAATTGTCAGTCTGCACTGTTGTCTGCTGCTGTTCTGTGTTAAAAGTAGCACCGTGCCCTGGAAAAACTATATCTTCTAAACTATATCTGTGATGAGAAGGAATGACAGTGAAGCAGACTTGGTCTCTGACTTTAAATGCACTGCTATGATGAGAAGGAACGAGTTTGACTTAACATGGAAACTGAAATCTAAAAACATCTCTATCTATTCTCAGTGACCTAAAACAATGTGGGCAGGAGGTCAAAACAGAAATAAAACTATGTTGTTGAAATGTTTAGACAGACAGGGTGTAAGTGACTTCCAAAGCACTGTGTGTAACAATTTAAAGAGATTTTAAAGACACATTTGCACTCTGGGTATACAGTTGTGGCAGGTGGTCCAGATAGTAAACTCAAAGAAATCAAAGCTACAACAACAGGATCCTAGAAGATTACTACCATTAGTAAATACACATATTATTTTGTGGAATGTCAAACTGTACATTGCTGTGGTGCTGGTATAGTCCTCAGCTTGATAAACCTTCTGTCGTTAGTGAAAAATTCAAAAGGCTATGATTTAAATTATTTATTTACATTTATAAGTATTAAATGTCTATTTTGCCTATTCAAGACGTCGTTCATTAGGCTGCAGACATACTGTATGCATTACAGAGAAATTTGCATGTCTTGCATAGTCTATTTGTTGTTACAATATCTTTGCTGTATAAATACATAAAATATGAAATCTGAACTTATATAAATATAAATACATAGCATCAATCAGCAAGAATTTACATTTCTAACTATTAATTCATATTTCATTTGGGAGGAAATTTTGGTATGGAACAGGATAAAAGCATAGTGTTTTAAAAAAAAAGGCAAAATGACTTCTTAGCAAAACTAACAAGCTACTGAAAGAAGTGAATAAGACTGAAGACATTTCTATTCTGAACACAACTCTATTCTTGAAGAATTATTTCTGAATATTTTACCATACAAAATAATTCTGAGGGCCTTTCGAAACCATGTGTAGAAGAATGCGTACACAATGGGATTACATGCTGAGTTTGAATAACCAACCCAAGCGAAGAAATCAAACAGTTGCACTGGGCCACTCAAACCTTGGTATATCCAAACAATACTGTAGATTACAAGTGGTGCCCAAGACACTAGAAAAGCTCCCATGACAATGGCTAATGTCTTAGTGGCTTTTCTCTCTGCTTTACTAACAGTTGCTTGTCCTTTTGATGTATTCATCTGAGAAAGTGTATTGTGTATTGAACGTGATTGTCTCTGTGCTACAAAATAGATTTTTAAATATATGCTAAGCATGACAATCGTGGGAATGTACAAGGAGAACATTGACATAATCAAAGCTGTTATGGGTCCTAGAATCATCGTACATCCCCCCTCACATATAATCTCAGTGTAATCCTCAAGGCTCCTAATATTGAGCTCAAGAAAAATCATCCCAAATCCCACACTGGCAGAAACACTCCAACAAACAGTGACCATGAAGACAGTAGTAAGAGGAGTCATTTTGATGTGGTAGAGTAAAGGATGACATATTGCATAATATCGATCCACAGAGATAAACATAAGATTTAAAACAGAAGCACAGCACAGCATAATGTCAAGGCTGCTGTGCATTTTACAGAAAAAAGTCCCCAAATACCAGCAAGTCTCCACAGAGCGTATCATGCTAGGAGGCATCACAACCCCTCCTAAAAGCAGGTCAGCTACAGCCAGAGAGAGAGTGAGGTAGTTAGTTGGTGTGTGCAGCTGCTTGAAATGAGTTATGGCTATGATCACCAGAAGATTTCCAAATAATGTAAGAAGTACAATGACACCAATGACAAAATATATCACCACTCGCACACTGAGCGGGTAATCAATCTTCTGACAAGAATTTGGATGATGTTCATAACAACGAGAGGCGTTTTCTATGCTCCCATTTTGAACTAGGTAATCCTTGATGTCCATTGTTTAATACATGTTCTTCCGTCTGTGTGCAGAAATTGAATAAAAACAAAGTGTTGATTAGAAAAAAACTGTACAAGTAAAAAAAAAAAATAATAATAATAATACTCTAACTATCCTTGGTGTAGATTACATAAAAATCACTGTAGAATATATATTTTTATATTACATTTTAAAGTATTTAGTATAATATTTCACATTTCACATTCATAGTAAAGCCATATTTACAGCGACAACTGAATCCTTGAAGATAAACAGTCCTGTATCAGGTCTAAGCTCTGCCTGCATATAAGGGCAACCGCCACACAGAGAAGAGAGCAACGCTCATTTATACTCTTACAGATGAGGACTCACTTCGCAAAAACACACCTCCATGCTGGACCCCTGACACCCTCCCTGTTATGCAACCAATCTCTGACTGTCCTTAAAACACAAAGCATGCTTTTTTTTAATCAACCATGCAAAGTAAAAGAAATGACTGACATTTTGTTTACCATGAAATTACTTGAGAATAAAAGTCACTTCTTTGTTTCTGAGTTCCTGAGTTCCTAGTTTCCCTGTTTTCAGTTTCCATTTTTCTAGTTCCTGGTTTTTGGTCTTTACTTTTCCTGCCTGTTTCTTGCTTTCTCAGTACGAATACAAGTGTAGTTGTTTCTGCCTGTGCTTGTCCCTGCTATGGACTGACTATCATGATAGGATTTACTTAATTAGTAAGCTTTGCATTTTATTGCCTTGCATTACAGAAAATGTTGTCGAACAAGTATCTAGTGAGGCTCATTAGGCCAGCAACACGGTGTAAAACATGTTGGACCCATGATACTCTTCCCCATGTTCAACAAATTTTGCAAATTTCAAAGAAAAAAAGGTTGTTTTTTTTTGCAAAATTTATGAAGATATTAGTAAGATACATACTTTGCAAGTTTAATATACAACTACAGTAACTGATAAGAGAAACACAAAGTATATTTCAGCTTTTAACGCTATGAAGTTACATGGTAATCGCAAGTACTACCGAACTGCTTCAAGAAGTACATGTCTATGTGGTAGTGAAGAGTAGGTCACAGGTACAGGTGACAGTGATGTAAAAACTGCACTGCACCTAGCACTCAGTACTCAGCAAGTACATTTTCTCCTTTTCTACTAATTCATTCTATATTAATTGGTACATTTACTGGTAAGTTCCCAGCAATATTATAGAAAAAGGCGTGTAAATTAAAGTATTACTTTATATGTGGTATTTACGCAGTAACTGTTTTCTTGTATTTGTTGTATGCTGAGCATAACAATAAAAAGTATTGGATGTTAATAATGGTAAAAGGTCTATGGTGTCGATATTGTAGTGTAATATAAGGACAAACAAAGCAAAAACAACACGCAGCAAACATGGAAACGTATAGTACAAGCCAAACAGTGAAACAAGACTTGCAATGCAGAGAATGTCTACATAATGTAACAAACGATTAAGCTACTAAATCCAAAAAGCAGACAGCAGAGTTCAATAGCGATACGGGGTGTGTGTTAAAGTCACACAGGCACAGCTCTCGACCACAACATAAACGTAAAAGTGGCTAACAATGGGTGCTAAGCAGTGATTGGAGGGCTGAGGAAAATGGGGCGGAACTTGATCTGGGTCTGACTGGCTTGGTGCCTGATGTTGACAGGGCTCGTCACGCCCCTGTCCTGTAGCACGGCACACAGCTTGTGTCGCATACTAGATACTGTACTGTATGCTACTGATCAAGAGTAGCATCCAGTTGTTAGTATATACTGATGCAGTATGCAGTACACAGTATGCTATTTCAAACACCTCAGTAATTCAGCCGATCCAGTGCAATCCAGAAAGTTAGCCACTGTAACATTCCAGGTAGTTGGTAATTTTGTTTGTTCATTTTGTCTGTAGGTCAAACCTGAACTCTGTAATCCAGTTAGTTGTTTAATGCAGTTTACTTTGCTTTAGTACAATACAGTTCCATTGTTGCAAAATAGATGCCAGAATATTACTAATAAATACCACATATTTACCAATTTAATACTAGTGGCTTACAACATCGCAAAATAGATACCTATTTTTTACAGTATTCTAGAAATATGCTATTTCATTAATAAAGTTTACTGCTGCTTGCATCTTTATGCTGAATATAACTCCTTTGTACAGGATTCAAGAGCTTTAGCCTGTTTAGGAGCCCCTGATTAGTACTAAATAATATAACGAAAATCAAATCTCCCATTAATGGTTCAGAGATTTCATCATGACAGCAACTGCAGTACAGTGCTACAGGCAATGAATGATGCTGCATTGCTACAAGTGTAAGCTAGCAATCATATGGATCCATGCCATCTGTAATAACTATGGCTGTATGATACAGCATTTCGTGAAATGTGCCTTACTTCTCCAAGACAGCTGTCCAGAGTGCTGAAGCCACATCTACCAGTGAACTTTGGTGTCTGTGTCGTGAAGAGCTGTTGGCTCCTATAAACCACCCATAAACCAACAGCCAGCTCCTATAAGATAAGCTCCTATAAGATGGCTCCTTCCTAAGCCTCAGAGCTTTCTTTTCCTTTAGCTTATGGCTTAAACAATTATTCAAAATTATGTATAGTGTAGACAAAAAAAATTGTCAAGAAATATTTCCATTCTTAATTTTTTGTTTACACTTCCAAAGCGACGTCCAACCTCGAATGAGTTAACTTCACCTGACAAAATCAGTAATTCACCTACAGGGCCAAACGTATGTGAGCAGATAGGAAAATAAAAGAATAATTAATAGCTAATAATTAATAATAATTAAGATTGACTCTGGAAGCATTTCTTAATATGTAAGATAAAGTAGTCTCAAACAGCATGTGCAATACTATCTATCACCAGAAAAGAAGACATGCTGGTTTTGAATCCAAAGCAGCATGACAGTGAGTAAACGGTAGATTTTTGTGTTCTGACAAACCAAAATCCTTCCTGAGGACGCACAGGTGGCGCTGTAATTGACTACTCAGAATGAGCTGACGTTCCCCTTGAAAATATCACTAAATATTATCATGTTACATCGATGGATTTGGTGTGGAGGAACTTCAGCAGCCCTCACAATGCACTGACCTCAACCCACTGAACACCTTTGGGATGAACTGGAACGTCGAGTCAAGCCAGGCCATCTCAACCAATGTTAGTGTCCGAGCTCACAAATGCTCTTTTGACTGCTTCGGCACAAATTCCTACAGACACACTTATGGATCATGCTAATCAAGATGTCTTGGTAACTGTACTAACTATGGCTGCATGATATTATACTTTGAGACAGCAGGAAAGTTGTCTCACCACTCCAGGATAGCTGACCACTGTCCAGAGTGCGACAGCCACATCTACCGCTAAACTGTGGTGCCTGTGTTGTGTAAAGCTGGTCTTGTAGAATCGCATAACAAGAAACAAAGGAACCTGACTGCAGCTTTCTTTTCTTTGTGTCACGTATACTGAGACTAACAAAAGAGGTACATTCTGCTGCTGATATCCCGGCTGCAACTGCCCATCTGCCCAGTATCCTCCATGATCTTCACACTTCACACAATTTGAGAATCAACTTGTATTGCAGTACTTTACATTACATACTCATCTTTCAAGAATTACATAAATCTTACACAAGCCATTTTTTTAAGATTCTAAGAAAATGCTTTTTAAATGGTTAACTACTACTAGGTGGCTTGAGGCTCACTGATGCTCAGCGTTAGGTACGGATACGAATACGGATGGAGGCTTCTGTCCGTACTCTGCATTGATTTCTTCCGTATTTGTTCATGTTCTCTGAAAACTTACGGCTACGGATGAAACAGAGCAGTACCACTTGAAGCCGTGGGCATTCAGTGTAGCCAACAGTTCACGCAAGACACAATGCCAATTTCTCTCATTAGTAAAATAAGTAAAAAGAATTCTCCGTCCACATGTCACAAAGTATTTAATGGCCTTATAGACCACCAGTCTGTCACGCATTCAGCAAACTTTGACAAGGAGACGGACTCCATTTCCCAGAATCCTCAGGGAAGTCACGTGACCGAGCAACTTCCCTCCGACTCGGATTCAGACATGGACTCCATTGCCCACAATTCAAGGGGAGATCACATGACTCCTGACTCTCGCCCGTACTCCAATCAGCGCTCAAACTCCCCAGAGTACTAACTGAGAACACCTGTGAACTTAATCATATGACTAGTTAGTCTCCTTTATAAGCCCGGGCTTGAGTTAGGTTCATTGCGAAGTATTGTATCGTTACGACCTACTGAGCGCTTGTTTTTCTGACTGCCTGTATTCTGTTTTGCTGACCAACATTTTGTTCTTCTTGACTTTGTCTTTTGCCTGATCCTTTTGTACTGTTGCCTGATTTGGACTGAACCGTGTTTTGAACCTTTCTGCCTGTTTTTGACCCTGATTTCAGCTCTGCCCTTTTTGCTTTGTTTGCTCGATTATATTAAAACTTGTCGTTTTTACATCCGCGAGCGTCTGTATTGTGTTGCCACATCACAGAATACTTCGCCACCCATGCAGACGGCGGATCCAGAAGCCTTTCAAAAGGCTCTAAACGAACAAGGTCAACTCCTCGGTCAGCATCAACATGTGCTGTCGGGTGTGACTCATTCCCTCGAGTCCTTAACCCACCAACAAGCGGAGCAGCAAGCACAGCTTGCTCAACTGGTCGCCAGTGTCAAGGGGTTGACGGACCAACTACAAAACATGAGTCTCGCAGAACCGACCGTGAGCTCTGTGTTACCCACTACCATCACGCCTGCTCCACCTTCAGCGTTTCCGGTCAGTAAACCCGACAAATTCGAAGGTAACCCGGATAAATGTCGGGGTTTTTTGCTCCAATGTTCAGTCTTTTTTGATAATTCCTCAGTTAGTTCTGACCAAGCTAAGATATCTTTTGTAGTCTCTCGTTTAGCCGATAAAGCTCTTGAATGGGCAACGGCCAGTTGGGCTAACATTCACCGCATGTCGTATGCCCAGTTTATTAAAGAATTCA